GGAGGCAGCAGGGCGACGCGGCCGCGAAGGAGCCGAAAGAGGGCGCCCCGCCTGGCCCTGCTGCGGCTCAGGGCGGCCGCTTCTTCTGCGCCTCGCGGTGCCGCGCCGTGAGCGTCCTATTGGTCACGGCCCTTCTAGTCGCCGTCGCAATCGCAGTGCCAGTCGCGCTCACCCAGGCCAAAGCTCGCGACCGCGCCGCGGCCGCGGCCGCGGTGGGCGCGGCGGCGCGTCAGCAGCCGCCGCGGGCGGCGGTCGGCGCGGGCACGGCGCCGGCGGCGTTTGGGGTGCTGGTGGGGTTGGCACCGCCGCCGGGTGCCGGGCCTGCGTGGGGCTGTGCAAATATCTTTGGCGGCGAACAGGTGAGATTTGGGCACGTGTCTCACGTGAGCTCAAAGATTGTTCAGCTGAGCTGTGGGTTTTCAGGTGACTTGAAAATGCCACTGCCCTGCCGGCCGCATCAAGACGTGCCGACTGAAATCTGCAAAACGTGCACTCGCTCCCGGGGCGCAGCGTGCAGGGGTGTGGCTCCCTGTCGCCGGCTGGCAGTTGCCTGGACACCCACCCACCCATCCACGCCCGCCCGCCTGTCATGCTTCTAATTCGTAATGAACACGCAGGCTCTGGAACGGTACAGGGACGCCGTCACAAACGCCTACTCGACCGCGCTGTCCCTGCCCCCCGAGAGCGTCGCAGTCCAGTCCGTGGACTGCAAAGCAGCAGCAGGGGCACCAGCGGCAGCAGGAGCAGGAGCAGAAGCGGCGGCGTCAGGTGGCCGCCGCAGGTTGATGCAGCCGGGTGCTCCCGCGGCGGGGGTTACGCTCGACACGCGTTTCACAGTCCAAGTGCCCACTGGTGAGACGTGGCATGAGCAACTTGTGTCCCCAAATCGTGACAGGCTCGGAACTGTATTGCTGTGCTCAAAGCTGACACCAAGTACGAGCCCGAAGGCAGCTCACACACCTTCAGTTGCTGCACAAACTCTGCATGCGAGTCAATACCCTGACGTCTCACCTGCACCCCGCACCCCACCCCACCCCTCGACTCTCCGCGTGCCCGCAGACCCCCCGGAGCTGCGGCAGCAAGTGATCTACAACATCACCAACAACAGCGCCGACATCCTTGGACCCGCGATCCGCGGCGTCTTTGGGCGGGACATCGGCGGCGTGTCTATCGGCAACCCCTCACCGCTGCCGGCGGGCGGCGATGCTTCGATCCCGGGATCGCCGCAGCCCTCTCAGGCGGCCGGGGTCGACCTACCGCCGGCGCCCGCGGCCCAGGAGCCTTCCGAACCAGAGCCGCTGCCGTCGCCGCGCCTGGGCAAGAGGTACCCGGCCGCGCCGCCTCCGCAGCCGCCAGAGCCGGCGCCCCCGTCGCCCGAGCCGGGCGGCTCGCCTGAAGCCATACCATCATCGCAGCCCCTGACGCCGCCGACGGCCGCGTCGCCTGCCCCATCGCCAGCAACCGCGCCGCCTGCGCGCGCCAGCTACGAGGGGCGCGAGCCCGCGCACCCGAAGTGGTCCGACGCGCCGCGCTGCTCTTACCAGCCGGCGGCCGGCGGTCAGTATGCGACAGACGCTGCCGGGCGGCTGTGGGGGTGGGAGGCTGGCAAGAGCTGCACGTTCCAGCAGCCCGATACTGGGCTCCCTATCATCGTTGATCAGGGGCCAGCGGGCGCAGCGCCAGGCGGCAAGCAGCAGCAGCAGCAGCAGAACCAGGCGCAAACGAAGGACCAGCAGCAGCAGCGGCCTGACTGGGCCTCGGCGCCGGCCTGCAAGTACGAGCGAACCGCCACCAACAGCGTCCAGGACACCGCTGGCCAGGCGTGGGGGTGGCAGGACGAAAAGAGCTGCGCGTTCCGGGGCGGCGCGGCGGGCGCGGTGCCGGGCCAGGCGTCCGGCCCAGCCGCGAGGCCGAGCATACCGCAGGGGACCCCATACTGCCGTGCAGCACCCACTGCAGACAACAGTGTCCGCAGCAGCCAGGGCGACCTGTGGGGCTGGCAAGACGGCCGCAGCTGCGTATTTACGAGCGCTGCGGCCGCGGGCGGCGGCGGCATAGGCGCTGTGGGTGGCGCAGGGGCTGCTGCTGAGGGCGCAGATGCGTGGTTTTCTGCACCCGCGTGCAGATACGCGCGGACGGCAGACAACAGTGTGCAAGACACCATCGGGCGCCCCTGGGGCTGGCAGGACCGCCGCAGCTGCAAGTTTGCCTGATGCACACTGTCCAAGGAGCAATGCATTTGTATTTTCGTAAGACTTGCCGGCAAGGCGCTGCATGGTGGTTTCCATCAGGCCCCTTCGACCAGCCACACCTGCATCCCATTGCACTGAACCGCATCTTTACTTCCCAAAAACCTTCAATAAACCTCCCTGTTGCTACCTATCCTGCGGGCGCGAGTGCAGTTGCGCTCAACCTAACCAGGGATTACCTCACATCCCGCCATTTACCTTGAGAGGTTGGCGAGCCGCGGCGGCCCCTCCTGCAATCACCTCCCTGCCTCTTCGACCCTTGGCGTGCAACATGATGTCGTGTGCGCGCGGGCCTGCGGGCTTTCTTCTCCGGCTGGTGCACCAATGGTTACTGCTGTCCCCCTCCGCACGCGTGCACGGTCACTTGCCTGCGCGGGCGCATCGCTGGTCTGCGCTGACGGTAATATCCAGCTGGCAAACGGCTCGTTATCTTGAGCCGAGAAGCGCCTGCATGTGCGTCCTCGTCACTTCGCATCTGATTGCACCTGATGGTCGATGCCATCCACTGCAAATGGCTCCCACTGACTGCATGCCGCACGTGCATGATGCAAGTGCTTTTTGAGTGTTTCAGGCACTCTGCATGGACGTGGGTTTCGGACGCTTGCTGCAGCGGGACAACGGCGCGGGCTGCGCCGCACATGACGGGGCGGGGGAATGCATCGCCCTCCACATGTGTCGTGAAGGGTTGCGCAACCCTTCCAAGGCATTACGTGTGACTGGGCCCAGAAACTCTTGCAGTATCAGCACTTTCACAGCACCAAACGCACACAGCTATGGCCCTAGAATCTCCCGTTGCCACGTACGGGCTGACCACAATCCCACATGCTTTCGCCACAAGGGCTTATTTGGACTGTGTCGACTGGAGGGGCCGCCGCTGCAGGGGTCGCGAGCATTTACCCCTAACCACCAACCCTCTGGTGTGCCACTGCTGCATGTGCCCGCACGCCACGACAATTTGGAAGAGCGAGCCCAATCGCAAACTGTGTGGCTTGCAGCAACCTGCACGGCTGCTGGACCCCGCTCTGCTGTGGGTCACACACACCTGACCCCACTAGGTGTGCTTGGCCAGATTTACTTGCTTCAGTGTGCCGGTTGAGGCGTATCAACATCCGCAGGTTTTGTGATGACCTGTGAATTCATCTCTTGAAGCCCCGCCCATGCTCTGCGCAACTGCTGCACATGGCCGCTTTCTGGGGATAGTCAGATTACACAACTGCCTGCAAGGGCCAGAAAGCACAAAAACCGGCACCTTCTTGTAATCGCGCAATTGCAAAGCATAGCAGTATGGAAATTGGCTCGGGGAATGCGTGCCAGGCTCTCAGATCATCTTTTGCCAGTATGCAGGGCCACTCACTTAAAAACATTGGCAGGTGCCAAGCCGACTTCACGGTTCTCCATCACCGGCACAACTTCATGCATCCAGACAGATCCAGGCCTCTTGCAAGAGTGCCTCTTGAGCTTCACAGAACATTCATTCCCATAGTAAGGCGAGGCGCAGCCCGCTTGCACGCATATCAACAGTGGTTGTGATGCAAGTGGCTGTGATGCTTTTCAACCGGCGCAGGCGTAGCAGGCTGCCCCAGCAGCAGCCCACATGCACAGCGCCGCCCCTTAACCTGGTCAGAGCGTTGGGGGCAGCAACAAGCCAATTTCATGCAGCAACAACGAAGCCGAGCACATTGCAGTGTGCTAACAACATCAAGCACGCAGAGCATCAAGCACGCAGGAGCCTGCCGAGTGAGCCAGCCTGGCGAATTCAAATCCGACAGGTGGACGCCATGCATTTTGAAGCCATTGTCGAAAGAGGTCGCAATGATGACGCATACGTGGCACACGCCTGCGCCGCTACACACCCAGCATCGAATCTGCCCGCCAATCACTAGCGGCGAATGATGGTGACCTGGTCGCCGGACTGCCACTCCGGCCACTGGTTCTTGTGCCACGTCCAGAAAGCGTGGGTAGCATTTGCAAAGTCAATCACCCCGTGCCCAAAGGATGGCTCCCTGTAGGCGCTCCACGCCGGCTGCGACGTCGGGCAGTACTGGCCCTGCTGGAAGCTGAGGCAGGCCTGAGGCTGGTAGCTCGGGAACTGGGTGTAGTTCTCTGGGTGGGCGCAGAAGAAGGTCGAGGCTTGCACCTCGTCAATGAAGTCTTTGTAGAGGCCCTCGATGTTGCCGCCGTCGCCCATGGTGATGTGCACCGGCCCTGCCTCATTGACCTGCGTTTGAGGGAAGCAAGATGGCATTTCTTGTAAGTGAAAGCTTGCTTTGTGTGTGTGTGTGTGTGTGTGTGTGTGTGTGCGCGTGTGTGCGTGAGTATGTGTGTGTGTGTGTGTGTGTGTGTGTGTGTGTGTGTGTGTGTGTGTGTGTGTGTGCGCGCGCAAACGTGCGCATGTCAGTATGCATCAGTTAGATTATTCCAACCACACAACCATTATCAATTGCGACCCATCAGCGCTGTTTTGTAACTTTAACATATCCAAAACAAAGTATACACACATGCTAAAGAATGCAGCACATACCTCGTAATTCACCACAGGCTTGGTCCTGTTTGCAACGCGCCAAGACAGGGAGAATGAGGATTGTTGAGAAACCAAGCGTGGGCTGAGCTGGATGACTGAGAGGCCCGTGACCTGTTAGCTGCTGCTCATGCAACTACTCCCTCCAAAGCACGATTGATGTTGCGTGGATTGATTGGCAGCTGCAATCTCTGAGATTGCAGACAAACCCGCGTTACAACCCGAGAGGCGCCCTACAAAGGGCCTGGGCACATCAGCGCGCTGGCGCGAGTGTTGAATGCATTTCTAGCTCATGACAACAGACATATGTGCCTCGCAGCTCACGAGTGCTGTGCCTGGCTCGCAACTGAGGGCCCAGCGGCTAAGCCCCCACACACCTCTCGTAGCTGTGGATGTGGCCGAGCACGAGGATGTCGACGCTGTACTTGACCAGCAGCGGCTCGTACACCTGCCGCATGCACTCGTTCTCCTTGTAGTGGCCCTTGTACGTGTTGTACCTGTTGTGCGTGTGTTTGTCGGGATGGATGTGAACCCAGGTTTGAGGGGTTTTGAAGAGCGATGAGGTCACAAGCGGTGGCGACTGGTTCGAGTGGGCACAGATGTGAAGCAACTTGCATATGGGTGCTGACGGCTGTGATCTAGCTGGGCGGGCTGCCAATGCAACCAGGAGTGCCGCGTGTGGGTCAATCGATCCAGGTATCACGCCCACCAAGGGGCGTGAGTGGTGACCAGCAGCCATGGTGTCTTGGTCCGGTCCACCTGGAATAGTTGTCAATGGTGGTGTTGAATGCTGCTTGTGGAACAAAGAAGCGCATGTTAAATGTGCTGCTCCACGTGCGTGTTGGTGGGCCAGGCAGTTGGCAACGACAGTCCAGCGAGTTGTGCGCCTGCATGCATGTGCCGTTCGCTATGCATGCACAAACACATATGCATGCACGCGCGCACACACACACACACACACGCACACACGCAATCCACAGATACACACACACAAGCGCGCGTACACACGCAAAAACGCATGCAAGCGCTAGCTCGTGCACGCGCACACGCGCACACGCGCACACACACACACACACACACACACACACACACACACACACACACACACACACACACGCGCGCGCGCGCACAAGCACACACTGTCTCAAGGCCTAAGCCTCAAGTCGAGTAAGATATCGGCTCGCACACCACCAAAGTTCTCACCAGCCGAAGCTCTTTCTCCAGCCACTTGTACTGCTCGTCTGACTGGTCAAACACCTGACCTGCAAGATTACCACCAGGTGTGTGAGGCTGGTTGGCACAGCACCAGGTCTTAAGTTATGAGACCGGGTGCCTCCGTCCCTAACAAGCCAATGTGACTCACTAAGCGAACCTTGGACGCGCGTCACACAGGTTCAAGCCAACACCACAAAACCACAAAAAGCTGACCAGGTCCGTCCCTGAGACCGACCTGGCGAGTAGCTTGTCAGGAAGATGTACTTGAAAACCCCCGGCACCTCAACGGAGTAGTACAGGTTGTTGTAGGGGTCGCTCGTTGTAACCGCCGGGAAGCTGGTCGGGTTGGGGGGCCCTGCGCGGCGGCGGGGGATTGTGGTTGCAGCGGGGCGGGGGTCGGTGCGAAATCACGCAAGTCTCACTAGGATCAACGAGCCTTCTTTGCATGGGTGATGCGGTGATAAAGGGTATGGAAACAGAAGGCACGGAGGAGCCTGGTGAACGAACGGGCACGCTCTGAGCGGCGGACGCGCAACGACGGGTGCTCACCATACTTGTTGGTGGGCACTGGGTAGCGGTGGTTGTACGCGTTGTTGCGGCGGCCGTCCGGCAGCTGCTCAATTTCGTGGCTGGTAGGTGTTACGGGCGGATGGATGAGCGTTTTTATGGGCGGGGGTTGGGGGTGGGTCAGAATGTACCTATGATACAAGTTGGCGGTTGTAGCTGTAGGGGGGCCACAATCAAAGACAACCTAGGGCATGCACCGGGGCCGTGTCAGCAACAGCCAAGCATCCGTTGCACATGTGTTGTCTGACCAGGGCGGCCAGGCATCTAAATGCCCCGCGCCTGATGTGGCCACACAGCTTTGCGCTTTGTGGGTGATGGCACAGCGCGATGCAAGGCCATGCATCAATAAAGCAGCTCGCCCCAAATGTTGCACGTGCACGAGCAGCCGCATGCACTTGAGAAGTTGCACTCACTTCCCATTTGTGTGCATCAATGGCACCACAGAGAGCAGCGGCTCGAACAGGCGGCCGAACATGTCCCACTTGGGTTGGTCTGCGTTGTAGTGGGGGGTGTGCGACTTGGTGATTGGAGGAGTTGAAGAGGCGATTCAGCAGAGGGTGGCAGGTTTCTAATAAGCACCAACGGCACAACTTGACCAGCAAGTCAGTGTTATCAACCTCTTCAGCGCGCACATGAATGTGTGAAGACGCGTGCGTGCACATGCTTGTGCACACGCAGTGCGCACGAACACACACACTCTCCCTCGTGCGCGCGTGTATCAACAGATGCTACCCTAGTCACATGTGAATTTGCCGCTCAAGGCCTTCGTGATCCGTTGGTCCTGCGACGCCCATTGGTCTGCATACACAAAGTCTCCCGCCAGCACTGCCAACTGAGGCTGGCTGGAGATGAGGTGATCCAGCATGACACTTGTGTTGTAGGTCTGGCCAGGGTCTGCGAAAGCAAAAATAAAAGCGTGTGCGTGTGCGTGCGTGTGTGCATGTGTGTGTGTGCGTGTGTGTGTAGTTGGCTGAGCACCTGCAATACCTACAGTACATGAATCTCAAGCCCCAAGTGCCCGCACACTACAGCACACCGCGTCATGCATGGCACAGTGCGCGGTGTCCACGCGCAGTCGCGGCCCCAGCACCCACCGGCCATGACGCCCAGCCTGAAAGGGAAGCCGTTCGTGGGTGCCTGCGGAATTGGTGGCCGGGAGAATCAGGGGCTGGCGCAGCAGAGACAAAGAGCACTTCGCACTGCTGCGAATTCTGCGTGCTCACCGTGAAGTTGAACGCACGGGTAACTGCGTCGGGGCCGTCACCAGTGATCTTGTAGGTGTAAGCCTTCCCTGGCTCGAGGTCTGATATTCAGAGCGGCATGGGGTGATGCAGGCGCTTGCGTAGGTGGGCAACGGGTAGCAACAATGGCAGGGTCGTGCACCGACGCGGGCAGAATACAAGCAAAGCTCCCGCCGTCCGGACCCTTGGGGCGCCAACGCCGCTCTTGGTCGCCCCCTTCAATTGCTGCCAGCCACCTGCGGCGCAGGCAAGCATGCGCACGCCGCACCTCGCAGCACCACATGGTGCAGCCGCGGCGACGCGTAGGACGGCTGCCCGACTGGCTCGTAATCGTTGAGGTATGTGGTGGTGATGCCAGGGGCCCTTATCTCGGGGCGGCTGCCATCGGTAGGGCCATAAACGACCTCGCTGCGGAAGCTGGGGTCGGCTGTTGCCGCGGTTTGAGCGGCTTGGGGCCCCACAACGGCGTCGCAGGTGGCCCAGGATACGAGGACAGCGTTGGGGTTCCAGTAGGTCAGGTGAACCTGTGGATGTGAGGTGTTGTGGCTCCAGAGGTCGCAGAGGGTGAGTGGCACAGCAAGGAATTGTGCAAGGACGGAGCGGGAAACCTGGAGGCCCCTGGTCGAGTGGGGTGAAGCGAGGAGCAGCCCCTGCTGACGTCGCAGCCCCTGCTGACGTCGCAGCCGCCGATGTGCATGGCGGCTGCTTACATCGCTGCCGCCGCCACGGATTAGCTGCCACTGTTTGACCAAAGCACCCCGTCCAAAGGTGTGTTTGCTGTGCAACTGTGTGCTGCAAGCGGCCCACCAGAGCTTCTGCAACACCAGTGAGCATCAGCATGCAGCTCAACATGATGTTGACCCACAGACTGCACAAGGGTACAGCAAGCACCCATGCCCATGGCGTCTGCGACATGCCACTGCCTCGCGCTCGCCTGTTCAGGCTCCCTGCAGCCAGGAGACCGCTTCTGGACACGTGCATCACTTGCAGGTATATCTTCAGTTCCCAGGGACACAGAGGGGTCCAGATGCTCTGACTTGGGCGCGGCATCTGGATCGATGGACACAAGCAAGTGGCGGCTGAGGCCGCGAGCACCGGCGTCCGGGATCGTGCGCCTTTTGATTGTGGCGCCCACCCTCGTGACGAGGATGAGGGCACACAACGCGAGCACACAGGCTCGCGGGAAAAATTGCATTTTGACTGACGCTCGTTGCGGGGCGCGGATAATCCGACGCCCGATCCGGTGAGCACCAGGTGAAACGATCCAAATAGTACTGCACAATGCTTGCACACAGTGGTTTGGCACGAGCGGTGTCACTACAAAACTGTCACCGAGTGACGCAGCGGCCAGCCAGTGGCTGGTGGATTTTTGGGCTGGACGTGGGAACCAGCGAGCCCACAGCTGCCAGTGGGGGCATATTCCCCTTGAATTCTGTGAAGGATTTCTCCCCATTGCGAATTCAGATCCCTGTGCCAGCATTCACAAATTGCATCATCACTCAAATTGAGCAGTGATGTGCCTGCGAGCGGTGGGTTGGCAAATCGGCTGGTGGGGGATGGCAGGTGTTCAGACAGGGAAGACGCACCCAAACGAGAATGAGAGAATCTGCAGTCGACCATCGTTTTGGGCTTGAAGGATCATGCTTCATTATGCCATACATGCCTATTGCTGCGGCCACGTCAACGTTATGGAGCTGTGCAGCTTCGACTTGACCCGTGTTATGCACCCATGCGCCAGAGTGAGCAAGATGGCAAGCGTGATCGTGCGATGTGTCTCCAGCTTTCAACAAGCTAGCCAGGATGCATGCATCTGTATCAATGCACTAGTCCTTGCCTATGCCACCTGCGCATTCATGCATGAGGTAGCGCTATGATACGCGCACAACGCACACTATGCTGATGCCTAACGCTGCATGTGCCGTGTGTCGAGCAAATCGGTGTCAGGGTTATCAGTCATCAGTGCGAGGATATGTCCTGCTATCCAGCCATGCTAGCGTTGGCGCCACTGGGTATACAACAGCAGGCGTCTGAGCCGAACCAGCACGTGGGATGTGTTGTGGAATTGAGCAAGCATCCCGCACATAAATGCGCCACCACATAGACAACCCCTTGTGATCAAGACAAAACACCCAAATTGCATGCATGCAGTGAGGCGCACGTTGTCACCCTGTGTTGCCTGGAGGAGCTCCCCACCGTAGACACTCACACGGCAAATGTTGCATGCAGCAGTGTGCACAAAGCGTGTGGGGTATCCCTTCGACCGCAACTCGTTTATACACTGAATCACCTGTGCGGTAGGCGGCAGGTCGCCCACGACGGCACGAAGAAGCTTGAATTAGAGTTACCAGTTGTAAAATAATGCAGGAGGGTGCAGACCGCGGATGCGTGTGCGTGTGCTCGTGGTAGGTGTCCTGGTGGTGGGCTGTTCCAGGGCAAAGGAGCGAAGCGGTGTGCGTCGCTGGGCAAGGCGGGGCAGGTACAAGTGACCGAACAACATCACCTGCACCACCTCATTTGTTTGGGGGGTTGACTGGGACGCGGCCGTATGCTTTCTCAGCGCTGACCGATGGGTCAAACGTAGCACGGTTACCCCTCTCGGCATCATCACCACCTGCACAGCAAATGTGCAGTTGAGTTTCAGGCCCCGTACTCTGCATATGAGCATTGATTCAAGGGTTGACATTCTACGGTATTCTGTGCACACGCCCATTTGCTCGACAGCTCGAGCTGCTCTTCACAACCAGGACTCTTCACGTGACAGATCGGGCGCACAACCTGCGATTCACTCACATGACAGAAAGACGCTCTAGACCCGGCACAGCAGACTGCGTGGTAGTGGCAGTGGAGCATAATGGCGAGGCTGCGAAGGCCGCGCCCGTGCTGGCGTGGAGGCACCTGAAGGTGAGATGACAGAGAATCAGAAACATATACAAATGCGAGCAGAAGTGAAGCTGTGGGCAAAGGCTGTGCGGCCCGCGAAGTGCGCAACCTCACACACAGTACGTTGGCACACACTGAACGAAGCGCACGCTCTCTGTGCATTGGTGCGTACTCGCCACCACCGTCGCCCACGGGCCTCACATGCCCCGGATGGAACGCGTGCAGGTCGCCACCAAGGCTGGCTCGCGCGTGCTGCTACAAGACCTCACCGGGGCCATCGATGGCGGTCAGTGCACATCGCCCCGTGCGGCACCCACAGCAGGCAGAGGCGCCCAACGCATGCAGGGCAGCGGAGCCAATCTCCTGGCAGCGCCGATGGGCACAATCATGCCAGTCATCATGAGTGCTGCCCACGCAGGCAGCCTTCCAAAACCAGCATGTAAGCCGTGGCGCATGCCCCCTCCCCCTGCCATGCAAACCCCCTCTCATGCACCCCGCGCACGCCCCATGCGGCCCCGCCCCCAGGCTTCAACTGCATCATGGGCCCCAGCGGCAGCGGCAAGAGCACGCTGCTCAACGCGCTCAGCCTCCGCCTGGACCCGGGGATGACTCAGACCGGCGAGATGCGCATCAACGGCATGGCTTACAGCAACTCTGACCTGAAGCTGTCGTGCGGCTACGTCATGCAGGCGCGTGCGCTTGGACCCATGCATCCACAAAACCCATGCGAAGCTCAGCGTGCATCCTCAGCAGCGCGGCCAGCACTGCCGGAGGCTGCGGCTGCGGCTGCGCCACGCCGCCGTGATGCTCGCAGCTGAGGGCTGTGCCGTGAGAATTACCATTGGTCATCCACGCGGCGGCGGTCGAGCCGCGATACCTCCAGGACGGCCAGATAGGCCCACCCACAACGCAGCGATCACGCAGAACCTTCAGCTGCTGACTCTGCCTTGACTGCGCTGTTTCGGCTCTGCCCCTTTGGCCGCCGCAGGACGACCTGCTCAACGCCAACCTGACTGTCGAGGAGACCCTGCGCTACACAGCGCGGCTGAGGTGCCCCCCTGGCTTCTCAGAGCAGCAGCGCCAGGAGGTGCGCGCCCAGACGCCGCAGTGGCCAGGCCGGGTTTGACCACCAGCATGACAGTCTCTTGATGAATTGTGGCGAGCAGGCTCTTCGGCGCTGCTCGGCCGGGCCCGCCCGCACAGCCCCTCCCCAACACCCCTCGTCTTACTGGACATGCCTGCATGCTCCTTTTGGGCAGCTTCATCCCTGGTCGTCTCGCCGCTCTGGCAGCCGCGTGTCTACGTGTGCGCGCCTACGCGTGCCAATCATCCCCCCCTTCGTCGCATGCTTCTGCCCAACCTCCCAACCTCGGCCTCCGACCC